ATGTACGGAGGGGGGGGGGGCAAAAAAAGTCACCGAGTCACATATCAGCAAAGTTTTCGCAGCCCAGACAGAGGACGTGGATACGAGTACCAGGGCGGAAGATACCCAAGATGTTCCTCGATAAGCAGGAGCTGGCTTTCCCGTACACCAAAATATGAAGTCATCTCCAGTCGCACCTGACTGGAGAAGACCTTTGGAATTCATGTCACCTCCAAACAGCTGCGAAACTTCTAGTATGGAGTCACCCATGGATAGCTACCTGGAGACCAGTACTCTCGATCTGGATGACCTCCAACATCGAGCAGCTCCGACAACGTCGCCACGGTCTAGGACATCACCACAGTCGCCAAGGCGCGGGTTGATGGTATGGACCGGACGTACCTGGAATGGAAAGACCGATATTTTCTTCGTGGACCCCGGACTGAAGGTGAGCGCTGGCATCGAGCAAGCTCGAGGAGAATATCCTCCCTACACGCCGTCTTGGAAACTTTGTACTGCTACAGGTTGGGTGCCACCACATGGAATCGAAGGGCGTTGGAAAAACTCCTTGGAAATGGAAGGGCGTTGAGTACCTGAAGAAGATGGAATCTAAGCAGGTCACCTGACCTAAACCCCCTCAATTACCCGGTTCGGGCGGAGTTCAATAGGGTGGTCTACGGTGGCGGAGAAATCGACTATCTCGCTGATCTCAGGCACCACATCGCGGTCGCGTGCCAGAATCTCTCGATGGCGCTCGTCCAGAAGGCTGTGGCGGAGTATAATAGTATTTAATATGCTCTTTAATATGGTGGTAGAAATGTCCGATCAGAAAATAAAGTGTAACTTATAGCGCCTCGAAAGTCAATGAAGAAAAGTGACTTTCCCCCCCCCTGTAGAGTACACTTTTTCAACCGGAGTCAAATATAAACGGAGGAAGACCCAAGTTGGAGCTAAATTCCCTGGGGAAAGAGGTCAAGAGTCGAGCAACAGGCCCTTCTGGAGACAGTTCTTGCGAAAAAGCGAGCCGCGGAATGCCTCCGTGCATTTGGCATCTGGGTTCGCACTCGCAGAGAGTGCACCACTTTCGCCACTGGGAATGGCTAGATCAAGAGCCCACAGACGCGTGACTATTGTGGGCTCTGTTCTTATCACTGTGTAAGACAACGACCTACACGTGAAGTACTGCATTCTGTGGCCTGCAGCGTAGTGAGACGATTTCATAAGCTCGTCGATGAGATTCCTTGCTTGTCGCCCTTTTTGCAAGCTTACGAGTTGTTCTGCTCTCCCTGGTTTCGCTTTTCTTTCTCGTTTTTTTTCTAGTATAATAAGGCATTCAGTACCGGAGGATGGGAAGAGTTGGTTTATGCGCTAGTGGTGGCATAGTAGTCGCTGGGTGTCGAGATGCCAGCAAGTCTGAAGAACTGGTGCAACGAGGCTGTGTTGCTGTCAAGGAGGGGTTTCGGTTGGGATGTTGTCGATGCTTTCTTTTGCTTCTTTCTGTACTGGAAAGTCACTTATCGGTGCTGGTTCACAACTGAATGCCGACCACTGATGATACTTGATTGCGGAAATCATCTTTAATAGGGCCCCACATATGTGGGGAACATTGGGGACCGACTGCCCAGAACACTCAAGCCTTGATGACTACGTAGACGTCATTTCACTTTGTTTTTGGCTTTGCTACGTCTCAGAGTAACAATTCTTCCCTCACAATCAGTCGTCGATGACCCTGTAGGGCATAGTTTAGTTGACTGGAACCACATTTCCAGTACTTATTTTACGCGTCTGGTTCAAGAAAAAATAAAGTCGTGGGAATTTAGTATTTTTTTTCTCAGCCTACCGGGATTAGTACAGATGATTTATCTCTTGATGTTCGTCCTAATCACAGCGGGTGACACATTCTTTGTATGTTCCCCTCAAGCCTGATCCGGTCTACGGACAACTTGAACTCAATCCCTTTGAACGCAACAGTCTTCTCTTTTTCTCTGCACTCTCTCGTCCGCATGGCACTCTATGGCCGTTGTGACTTCGCTCACTCCAGCTTTTCACCGACTATAAGTAGCTCACCCACCCCGGAGTCCCCTCCCCTTGAAAAATCCCGTTTCCTGGCTCGCCATACGTTTTTTGTACGTTTCGATGCTTTGGCAGCCGCTGCCCTCTATCCGTCTGCGTCACAGGGTTTCGTAACAGGACCATGCACAAAAATCAAGATGTCACGTAATCTGATCGGTTACCTCGAAGTTTCAAAACAAAAAATACCTGCCATCTTGAGACCTAGAGTGTCTGGGTGCCTGGTAGAATTCCTATCCACAAAAGGTTGGTGATTCACGGGCTAAGATCTTCTAGCCCGTATTTTTCTTACTGTAGTGTGAAATGGTGATTGAGTGAATTGTTTCGATGATAAGTTTCGACTTGCAGGCTCCGAAAAAGGACGATGTTTGCCGAAACGATAGCACAATAAGTCATCTGTGTCAGTCTCAGGAGGCTAAGGAAACTTACTGAATTATTATTTTTCTAATGTCGAGATTAATCCAAAGCCGATCGTTTGATAAAGTTGAAAGCTTTGAGCTGCATATTTATGGCCTAGACATTCAAATGCTATCACATAAACTCCGAAACAAACTTCTAAACCCGACATGTTCCGGTTTACAACTATAAATACAAAATACAAATCACCGAGAGACAACAATCACGTCATCATGTCACTACGTCCATGATAGTACAGACGTCGTCAAAAATTGTGCAATCGATAGCGCTCAGAAAATTGATTTTTAAAGATACAAACTTTCACAAACACAATGACTGACAAAGAGCTAGATGGGATCTGTATGCTGCAGATAACAGAGACTAGTTCACTCATAGATCAAGAATGAAATCGATTCATCGATTTTCGTGGACTACTATGGGTCAGGAGATTCGAGCTGCGGTGGCCGCTATTGCGTGGTTCATCTCTTGCGACCCACACTTGAACATGTCGCTAACAAGTACTTTCTGCTCGCGCCGCAACTCGGATTCCTGACTCACATTATCTTTATTTCAGTCACTCATTAATACTAGGCCCACTGCACTGTAGGATATGTTCCACTAGGGAAATATCAGCGTCTGACTTATCTCCGCCGCTTTCGGCAAAGTCGCGCGGTGAAGGCGAATAAACGACGCGTGCGCGCGGCAAATGGGTGACAGAATCGCAACGCACGTAAATACCTAGTAAGACCACTAACCCCATAGAAGGGTTCCCGACGCTACCTGGAATGCGTGCAATTTTCTAGATCCGAGCGCTATCTCAAAAAATTACCGGTATTCTTAATGAAAACAAAGCCTATAAAGTGATTCAAGGATTCCTAAAACTTGAAGCAGTACTCTCATAAACTCTAATGATAAGTAATCTGAGAGTAACTGAATACAAAGGTAAAGAAAACATTCACAAAAAGATAGCCGTAATCTGTTAAATTTCCACGCCGCTACCGTAGTTCTACCGTAATCACGGCGGTGTCTCTACAGTACTGTGTTGCTTCGTCGTTTACCCTCATCCGGGTCAGAAAGCAGCTTGAAAAGTAAATCGCCGAGTTTGTCAACTTCGTGTAGGTTGTCTATCTGCAATCGATCGATATGTATCAAAAGCATTGAAGATGCAACTAGTAATAGCCTCACCAGCCACATGTGCGTGGCCCAGATCATATCCATCAGTTTGCCATCGTCAATTTGATCAATGCGCACGTTAATACCCTGGAAAACCAGCGATTAAATCGATAGAGCAATCGACTAGTAGACGGCTACCTTGGGGCTTATCCGTATAAATGGTATGTTATGAGCATGGCAGCGCTCCTGTGCCATTTCGACGGTGGTGAGATCTTGGCCAACCACCTGAAAGATCATCGATCAGTAAGGACTCCACAGAGACCAACCGACTCAGGCACGTTCAGACATCGTGATAACGCGCGTTGTCGCGCTGCAACGCGCGTCGCTGCGCTTACAAGGCCTATACATTGCAAAGGCAACGCGCAGACGGCTAATGCATCTGTCCGTCGCGTGACGAAACAGAGCGGCCGGGAGGCTATTTCCAAATCCCATCTGCGGGCATTGCATTCGCGTAGCTTGAAAGATTGTTACAGTTGGAGCGCGTCGCGGCTCGTATCGGGGGTCTGAACGCAGGCTCATGACGCTCCCAGCTAGATTCCCTACCTGTTCAGAATCAGTGGTGCTGAGATTGCGCCTATGTTCTTTTGCTCGCGATATCGGGATTGTGTTGCGATTGGTACTTCCGCTCCGATTGGGCCGGCTCTCCAGTGCCAATCGACACCACACCAGCCAAATGGACCTTGTTGTTGTGCTTAGTGAACGAATCAACTTCCTGAAATGTTGAGATGAATCTGCATACTTTCTCATACTGTACCTACTTACTGTAACTAAAATTGTTATCAACTGGTATACGAAGAATGATGAGAAGTGGACAAGTTAAAGGACAGCCGATATGGACACTGGGCGTGAAGCTGCAAGCTTAATTTGGTTTTCGACTCGTTCTATTATCATAATAGTTGGTTATCGCTGCCGTTCGCTAAGACGAGAGACGGTCCCACGGAAAAGGGTCAAGACAATCGTAATTTGCCACGCCCTTGCGCGGCGGTGGATCGCGCGACAGTGGGCGGCCAGTTCGTGGTATACGAGAATGACAAAGAGCCCAAAACTACTTCTAACTTGTGATCATGTGTTCAAGTAATCCGCCAATGAAAAGAATCGTTGACTTTCGAATATCATATACAGTCCTCATCATTGCGGACCGGTGGGGCGTGTCAGCCAGTATGAGTGTGCACACTGTTGAAGCAGTTCTCAGCCTTTTCTTTGGAGCGCGTATGCGACAAATGAGAGGAAGACGATAATACGAAGGATATAATAAATTAACGTCACTGTGCGCTTGCAACAACTGGTGCAGAACGGACTTTCCACGCACCGCCAAACGCCGCTGCGCCACTGAGCCGCCCACCCGATCTGCAGTGATTGAGGAATGTTATGCAAATACTATTACAGTTGTCACATGCGCGCAGGCGAATCAGGGGCTGATGCTTTGGATTCACGAAATTCGGGCACGGAGCCCATTTTTTTAATTGGCCTTCACCAAAATCTAAAAAACGTTGTATATAGGGGTAATCTTAACGTCCCTGATTTAGGATATGACACTCATTTTGTCCGCTTGGAGCCAAGATGAGGACACTATCGATTCACCTCCTGGGCCCAGCTTCGCAGAGCGAATCGTAGTGTCATCCATTCTAGCGGTCAGCGACAGAGTGAATGTCATATTCGTATCAGGGAGGTGTTGCGTGCCCCTATCTATACAAGTTTTATATGGGATTTGGTGGATTTAGGCAAGGTCTTAAAAATGAGCTCGGGTGTCGAAAATTTCTGGAGTCTTAAACGGCATTAGCCCATCGCTGGTCACGCCCACCAACGCGACGAATTACGGTCTTGTCATGTGCGACAGTACGGAGGAGGGGGAGAACCCAAAATAATTTAAAAAGAAACAAGGACAATTACATGGCTCACCTTAAAAAGTATATTCAGCGGATAATTAGCAACAAAAGACCCGTCGACGAACTTTTTACCCTGATAGCAGAACGGCTCGAAATACGTCGGTGCTGCACTGAAATCATACGACATTCATCTTCTGTGCTATTCCTGCACTGGAGGTTTTCCTTCAGTCTGTATTGCTGAGACACATACTAAAAAGTAACGCTGATATCGTCCGAATCCCGTGGGAGCTGGTACAAGGAAAACAACGAGCCTGCGTTGCTGCGTTTCTTACTCATAATGGTCGAAAATAAGTTTTCTATCATTGGTTATTTTCGACTCAGGTCACAATAACCAATGATAGAAAACGGCGAAGGTGGACTCATTCCACGCCTCCTAGCCCCGTCTAATTTTGACAAAAGCAACAATGACTGTCAAAAGTACGGTCGCGTACGCAGAATCAAGATAGATCTTTCACACGCCCTAACCATCCACAAAGGGTACTGCACAGCATTGCGTTTATGTAAAATCTTGAGGTAAACACGACTCTAGCTGAACTGTAATTTCTGTGGGATTCCTTCCATATTGTATTATAGGTTACACCGTCGAGCAGAGAGGGGGCGGAGACGGAGATATGAAGAGCATCCGGATGGATGATATGACGTCTCAGTGTCCCCAAAAAACCTCTCAGTCTCCTCATGTCGAGAGCCAGCGGTTGAGTGTGCGAAGCGTGAAGATCCACTACGCGACAGTTACCACAATGCTTTATAAGTGAGAGCGAGTTAAAGAGGGATAGTTTGCAATTTTACGGCTGCCACCAACTAGGGGGATCCTCCGCCCCTCTTCTTCAATAATAGATGGTGTGCCTGACTGCCAAGTCAAAGAAAATGTATGGCTCATTAGCTCTTTGTATGCGGTGACTCCTCTGCCCTACAGAAGATTTTCAGAAAAAATATTTTATTGGGAGAAAAAAAGACACCGTACCTGCTTGCTCGAGCGGCATCTTTGAACATGATGTCTTGCTCTTCGTCAAGAGGTGCACCGAATGGAAGTGTGAATGAGTAATTCCTGGAAGAAGATGCATTTTGGTAAGCCGAATGCGAAAATTGCTGGACAGATTGATGCTAATAATGTGGGCTCAAATAAAGCGGACACCATAGGCCAATAGGTCGCATGGGTAGTCCCTGGGCCCATTCACTGTTCTCGGTAGGAGTGAAGTTATTCTCTGGGCCGGACTGACGGGTTCTGGAAAGTGGTCTTCCTGCGACAACGTTAGGTTGGCCCCCTAAACACCTTTTGAGGGGACAACTACGTTTTGTCCGGGAAGAAAACCCCAGATGAAAAGAGAAGAGCGTCGTCAGCTTACCTAAAGATATGCAGTCTCGCAGGAGCCAATGATATGTCCAGAGCAGGAACCGTCAGTCGTCGATCGCATTTGTGGAACGATTGCGTCGGAAAGCAGTTGCTCAGTACCTTCTCAATGTTCCGCGTTTGCGTCGTGACCTGAAAGGGTCATCATGGCTGCGTTTACATCTTCACTTATGCCGAGAAACATTGGCGGTGACATACATCGCCAAACATGCTAGTCGCACAGCACAAAAAACTAGCTGGGAAAAGCTACTCAATGTTGCAGCAAATAAAGAGGAAAGTATAAACGCACTTTGGTCGCGGAGCAATCTGCTGAACATAGTAGGACCTCGAGAGAATATTTGCCCGTTTCATCTCCAGTAGAGGAAAGCATTCGCTAAGCGTCCAACCGTTGGCCGTCGATAGGGCGAGCATTGAGCCGGTACTGAAAGAATCCATATGGAGCATGGAAAACATTTATGATCAAGAGTGTCTGCAGCATACATCGCCGATACATACACTAGCTCCTCAGTTCAATGGAATCAGTTATCGAAGTCCGTTTATCAAGGCAGTTAAAGAACAGCGCGCCCGCGTTCATTTGTTGTTCTCACGCCCTCTCTGGATCTAGTAGCTCCCCCTATGAGGATGGTGGACGTGCATGTTTCGCAACCCAAAAATGCGACGGAACAGCGGCGTCCGCCCGCAAAGAGCCTACGGTCGCCCACCTGTCCTTCGACCGTGCCACCCAACTTATCCTAATGGTGTTGCCTGATGGTGCGGTTGTTCCATTGCTGCGTCTCTCCACGTGGAGTGGTGAGAGTGAGGTGATAAGGGAAAACAGCTGATATGAACAAGTGGAAACTCGTGCAATCACTCCTTCTCTTCGCCTTGAGCACGTACAACCGTTGTTCGGTATGAAAGCTCCTTCTAAGGCATTTTGCGTGTTTTCTCTTCGATTTTTCTTCACTAATAGGCTTCTTGCTACCTCGCTGTTACTACCTGAGCCGCATACTCATTAAATTTGAACGCGGGCGCTGCCTTTAAGATCGCTGGAGCGCGGGCGATTGTTGCCAAACGTCATTGGTGGGAAGGACGCCCCATTTGAACCCCTTCACCAATAACGTTGGAGGGACAACGCCCGCACCCCGCCTCCAGTCATCGTGCCCACTGCCGTTAAGGGCTGGGCTGCAAAGCCCTGCAGTTGTGACACAAGGGCAAGCTCGCTGCTTTCTTGCAGATGACCAGCAGGTTCCTTAGGGATAAGGAGAAAATTACTGAACTATAGGTTCAAAATGTAGCTAACCTAGTGCCTATGAGCCAGTCGAAATAGTTGACCAGGGTCTCGTCGCCAAGTAACCGCCGTGAAGCAAACAGCAAACAAACCACGGACACAAGGCCACGCATACCACCACCATCCATGCACATCGGTAGCAGTCCACTTGTGCATTTACGACCTCGCACGATATTGATTGGAGTCTGAAATATCATTAATTTCATTCCATTCGATCGATAAGTGCACATGAAGAATCGTACCTGTTCGCACATTTCCTCATAGATCGTTCCAGCATATTCCAGGAAGTCATTGAACTTCACCACACACTTATCACAGACAGTTCCGCTGTCGATGCGGTCCATGAGCGTCTTTTGGCCATAGTCGTCCTTATAAAGGGATTCTGGGTTAGCGCCTGAAAGTGGTACAAACCATCACTACGAGTTTTCCACTCAATGTACAGTATCGTTGGCAGAATTCCATCAGGGGATCGTACTTGAGGTTAAGGGGGGGGAGGTAGGTTTTGGTCGGTAACGACCACTTCTTCCCACTCGACAGCAGCTCTTTTTGGGAGAGGGGGGACTGGAAAATTTTTTTGAAAAACTGGGAAAAGTTATAGTAGTTTTTGGAAAATTTAGGAGACGGTAGGAGGTCGCACCGGAACAGGACCTCTTTCTCTTGAAGAGAGAGGGGGAGGGGCATACTGCTACTTCACTCGTCACGATGCTGCGCCCTGTTTTCACCACTCCGCGACTATACGCTACAGTTCAGCGCATGCCGAAATAAGACCCTAGATTGGGTCACGTAGCAGGTCAAATGAACCAAAGGCTCAGAGAGTCGTACCTAAAGTCAGCAGTAATCGTGCCTCAGTAATCGTCGCCTGTGGAGCCGCCCAGATGTCGTGCAATTTGGCTGACATCTGAAAAAGACACTCATTTTTCTTAGTCTAGTAATGATTCGATGCACTACTCCATATCAGTTTTATAGGTCTCATATAATTTCTTTATCAATCAATATCTTTAAGCTATTCACCCTTCACTGCCTCAGTGTTGGGACTCGGCCCAATTGAATCGACATTTGTTTTACGAAAAAGATCAATCTGAGCAAATTTTGTCCAGCGTACACTTGACATTCTGAACTCGAACATAACATCCATTTTTGCGTGTTTAAAAACGCCTTAGTACCCGTGGCCGCAAACGCTGGCCTCGAGGAACCCATCAGCTTTGAGGGTGAGAAGCGGGTGTGATAGTCTCGCTCAGGATGTTACCTCGAAATAAGTTTTCAGCAATTTTGGTTGTCTTGAGGTGTTTCTGTACTCGCTGTTCAAACTCAGGACACGTGCGTTAGTAGATCCCGCCATCCCGTTATTTCGGTAGCTGGAGAGGGGTGGCGGGGGGGGGCGACAGTCGCACTCGCCTATTGTGGAAAAATGTTTTTCAGGTGTTGACTTTTCTCGCTTCCTACACCCCTCCCTGCCGCTCTGCAAGTTTTTCGGAGGAACACTGGAGGATTTTTTGAGAAGACCCTCAGAAAAAAGATAGGAAGTTTTGAGAATTGAAAGGGGGGGGGTTACCAAGAAAAGAAAATCTGGGAACGTCTGAGGGAGTGGGGATGAGCTTATGCTGTAAAATTGCCCCCCCCCCCCCCCAACAGCAGGACGTGCTCTGGTCAAAATACACTCCTGCTGATGAATTGCTTGCTCAAAGGCAGTTGGCACGATAAATCGTTTTACAGGCGTAGGATTTGTACAACTGGTCTTACAGGAATTCCGTGTCTTATGGACACGGGCGAAGCCTTTTTACGGGAAGGATACCTCTCTATAACGCCTATTGAGCAACAACTTTACGTCCCAAACGCCTTCCTTGCCCGCCCGCCCACAAACGGACGACCGTTTCTGACGCTCGTATTCATTCATTTGCTGAGCAAATTATAAAGCAAAGGGATTGGTATGAAGCGGCCGTGATGCATGCATATATGGATACACATATGGCCGTATCATTCGGTAGCGGTTGTATTGTAGATGCCTACGGGAAAACTCTGTCCCGAAAATCGATTTACAAGTCACTGAGAACGGAGGCTTTTTCTTCGCCGGGATTTGACCGTTTCACTCCGTTCTTTCGCCATTTCCCCACTATACAGCGCCCTACTAGCATTTTAGGCTAAGTAGGAAACCATCGTGCCAACTGCCTTTAATTCTTACCCGCACAGGTGGAAATATCGAGCAAAGTCT